AGCCTCAAGCTCTTATGCTGCTTCCATTTCCCCTTCAGTCTAACTCCAGGCTATAAAGAGTGGGAGACAATATCTACTGCACTGAGTTGCACCGATTTGTACTTCCTCAGACAATTAAACCCACTACTCAGTGATTCTGTTGTCGTTTTAGTTTGCTGGTGCTGCTCAAGCTTTGACTGTGCAGTGTGGAATTAAGAGAATGACTTCTGTCAGATACAGATGTGGTCATCATGTCACACAAATGCTACTGTATTCTCTGATATAACGTATTTAAGGCCGTGACAGCCTGCAGTTCCCAAGTTCTCTCTTATAGAAAGAGTCTGCTGAGCCACTAAAGTCCCCGTCTGAATCAGAGAGGAAAAGCGGGGAAAGAAGAAAGGAGAAAAAAATGTATGGAGGGTATGAAGTGGAGAAAAAGAGAGAGTGCGGATGGCTAAAGCAAAAACAGAAAAAAAAAAGATGAGGGGAAAGAGTGCGGAATGAGAAAATCGAGAGAACACATAGTGACAGAAAAGAAGAGAGATGCAAAGTGATCAAACGAGGGGAAATTTTGGCAGGACAGAATAAAAAGCTTGATTATGCACTAAAGGCTGAAGAGAAGAGAACAGGGTGAACAGGCATGGCGGAAGAACCTTAAAACAAAGTGGGACAAAGAGACGGACCAAAGACAAACAAAAGTTGTGTGGACGATTGGTGACAGAAAGAGAGGCAAGATATAAGAGAGACAGAGACTGTCTTCATGCAAGTGTATAACCTTGGACTAATGTTAACCTGAGACACGAAGAGATCTAATAAAGTGTGTGTAGTTCTGAGCTGCGTGGTACCGCCCAGTTTGTTTTATATGACTGGCCACCTTTAATAGGATTAGAGGCCGGCTGCTGGCTGGAAGACGGGAGCAGAAATTGATACACTCTGAGACAAGGAAGAGTCAGAGAGGGATCATTCATACAGAAATGTTGTCTTCCATTCCTCTCCTCTCCTCTTTCATTTCCTGTTTTTTTCCCCCACTGCTAATCAGAATGACTAGAAAAATTAAATCAGTAAATCATTAGTCACCCCTCCGGCATGACACAATGAAATAACACATCTATCCTCCTTTCTCCCCACCTCACACACACACCCTGCTGTGGGTATCTGCTCTCCTCATTACTCATGATAATGGTGATTCCATTTAATATCAAGCTATTAAATAAAAAATAATTACTGGGAATGAAATCAATGGATGAAATTCACACTCATTATTTCACAGCAATATTAATAATATCGTTCATCAACCTGAAAAACAAACTGCGTTCACTGCGTGGGTGCTAATATACTATTAGGTTTATAAAAGCTGATTGAGGATAATTAATTAAGAGTCAAAACAGCATGACCACGAAAAAAAAACAAAAACAAAAAAGTCTGTAACCGAGAGCGCTTAGGAACACAAGTGAGGAAGATTTCTTCTTCTGGCCCTCTCTTTCTCTCTCCGTCTTGGCCGTGTCTGGCACTGGCTCAGCGCTCTCTGACCACAGTGTAAAAAGATTTACTCAGCTCTGCCTAATTATTAGGAAGGAGAAATGATTAGCTGAAGAGTTATGACTAGTAAATCTGTCTATGTTTCATTAACACCCTGTTTGGAAACATTTCATTTAGCTCATTAAAGAGAGTGGTAGTGGGGGAAAGAAAAGGAAGGGAAATGAAATGAAAGGTAAGGAAAGGAGAGAGGTGGAGGAGAAGCAGTGAGGTTTGGAGCTGGGTAATTGGTGTAATGTAGCAGAATTTTTAACAACCCGGTGAAAAGGTCAAATAAGAGGAAATCGAAAGAGAGAGATGAGGCAGAGGAGCATGTCATCTGTATCATTAAGTGAAGTGTATCTTGATATTTGCTAACAGATCAGTGTGAAACTAATTCCCCTAATGATGTTACTACACACACACAACCTGATTAGGTCATGATCATAATATGTGCACTTGTGTATGTGTGTGTGTGTGTGTGTGTGTGTATCCGACAAATGTATCTGCTACAATAATACGCTATAAACATTAAAACCCCAACCAAAAACAGTTTTTGAATTTGTCTGATGTTTATTGGACATTTGATCAAACCCGCTGCAACATCTGCTCATGCATAAAGCCTGTGTGAAACAGTTTTGCACCTGCGGCAACTAGCTGCTATTATTGCACTGTTTGTAAGTACTTTCTAGGCATTCTGCAGACAAAGCTGTATTCAGCAACACCTACAGCTTAGCTCCATAAATTGAAAGCACCAGCATCCAAGCAGCACATACAAATCTGTCTAATACATTACACACACATCATCGTCATTGCATGTATGTACACACACACTTCCCCAAACCGGCCTGTTTTGTTTAATATTGGTTTACACAGAATCTCCTGGCTGCCAAATCGTAATTATCAAGCAAACAGACCAACACCACCCACATGGAAGGGAATGCATTGGCTGAATTTTACCTTTACTAAATTCACCATAAGTATTATGGCAAACATGGGTCCATTATTTGTGCCTATGTTCCGTTTTTTTCCTTCAATTTCCTGTTTTCGTTAATTTGTGGTTCAAAAGCAAGCGTGTGATTTTTTTTTATTATTTCCCACAACTAAAAAACCCTCACCAATTTTTCTTACTTTTAGTCTTTGGTGTTGTTAATTAAATAAAAAATTGCCTTTGTAATCCAAACATGCAGGAAGGCACACACACACACACACACACACACACACAAACACAAACACACACACACTATTGCTGTTTTACACTCAATTAGTGTTCTTCAGTTTCTCAGAAGTCTCTTTCTCTCTCTACCCCTTAACTCTGCCCTCCTCTCTCAACAGCATGTTTCCATCAGCACACGACCCCCCCCCTTTCCATCCTTCCTCTCCTCTTTTGTGTCATTAAGTTTTTAAGAATAACCCTGGGCTGCACAACAGATGCTGCGGAGGTAAAAGAGCTTACGCGCACAAACATGACATCAACAGGACAAGCTATTGTGTTAAAAAGGATAGAGCTGTTACAGCTCTCTATTAGTGAGACTGAGAAGTCTTTCTGCTAGAATCAGCCACATTATAAAGAAATCTCACTATCCAACGTGACTTTTTCTCTCTGCCTTTCACTCTTTATTATTCAAAACTCTCCTCCAAAAAGGATGTTTTTCTCTGAAAACTATGCTTGAAGGGACGGCTCCTGGAAAGCGTTCTCTTCTTTTTGTCGTGGGTAAAAACTGAACCACACTGCAAGACGGTGATCAATAGAGTTCTGTTTGATCTTACTTCTGTGGAAAGACTAACTAGACATCCACATAATCACTTTTACAATTATTATAAGATTTTCAGGCATTTTCTTGAACAGATTGCGGTCCTTGACTCCCTGCTGAATATCTCCAGCTTTGACAACAGATGTACTCCATAAAGGCAGACTTTGAGACACATAGTAGATGAGAAGGCTTTTAAAAAAAAACAAAAAACAAAGAGGCATCACATAAATGGAACAACTTCACACTGACTTCTCACCCAGAACTCCCACATTAAAAACATGAACATAGAAAAACACACGGGATTCTGGCACATAACCAAGGCCTGCAGCTATTCGAGAAAGAAGATGGTTGTAAGGCTGCAGAATCATTAGATTGCAGACAAAACAGAGGTGCACACACGTACACACAGATGCTGGGAGGCAGAAGCTGTAACGTGTTTAACAAGCAGTGTGAAAAAGCAAGAACCGAAAGGGAGAGCGCTTTTTTGAGTGAAAGGCCATCTGCTGAATCCATGGCTATGCCAGTCGCTTGCGAGCTTCCCATCACTCGCACCTGCCAGCCTGCCAAAGCACCCTCAGGAGGACAAAAGCACCAACTTCACACACAAACACACACCCGCACGCATTAACTCGCAGAGCAGTAATGGCACGCACACAGCAATAACTGGTGTGATTTGTCAGCGCCGTGCTGCGTCTGAGGAGCTTTCGACATTTTTTCATGTTTTCCCTCCTGCAGTAACAATAGCATAACAGCACTTTATTAAACGAGAACAGGACAGAACAGAATGGCCTGCAAATCAGGCCGTTTATGAGGCGTAGCTGTTCAGTACCCTGCCAGCAAAGGCTGCAGGAAGTGGGTATATGTGAGACAGACAGAGAGACTATGGGCATATTTTATAGTGTAGTGATTCAAAAACCCTGCTATAAAGGTGTTCAGAATGTGGTCAGGATTGTGGGTTCAAGCGGTGAACTAGGTGTAAAACAAGAACAAAAAGCTCTCCAGCACTCTCCAGTCTAGTGTCTACTGTGGAAATTATTTAAACAGCTGACCTTACAAGTGTCCGGTGGGAAATCATTTCAACCCTGGATGACTCTTAGTGTCCATTTCAGTTCCAATTTTAATCACGGTCCACATTGAACTGGCCTGAGCAAATACATCAGATTCTTGATACATTACAGAGGGTTTTCATCCAAATGTAAATTTCAAGAACGGAACAGGAAATGAAAGCTGGAGAGCCAAAGGCGGGCGAGATGAAGAGAAAAGCAGACACAGAGAGAGCGCTGAATGGAGTGAAACGAGAGCAGGGGGTGAAAGAGAAATGGACTGATTGACGGATAAGATGGAAGGTGTAGTAGATGAAAAGAGGGAGGTATGGACAACAAGAGAAGAGAGAGACCAAATCCTTATTTTTAGATTTCTCCCAGTTCCTCCAAAACCTGTATTATGACTCTCCTATTGCACCTACCAGTGCAATCGCCCACCCATCATCTCTCCTACTCTTCCTCCTCCTCTCTCAAACACTCTTATAATCTACCTTTTCATCTTTTGCTCCTTTGGACCTCTCCCTTCTTCCCGTTGTGCCGCTGGCTCTCCTCCTCCCTCCATCAATCTCCTTTTCTCTCCATCTCTCTCAAGCCTCCTCCTCTTTCTTCTCAAAATGTAGCTCTCCAGTGGCACAAACACATTTTAGATGTACCTCCCCACACACACACACACACACACACACACACACATTACTTGCTGCAGTCTGCCATTCCCACTGCTTATCTAATACGTTTTCATTTTATCCTCCACTTGCGTCTCTCCTTTACCTTGCTTGTGTCTATCTTTCTCCCCGTGAGCTCGCTCTCTCTCTCGCGCTCTCTCTCTCCCGCTCTTGTCTCTCTTGTGATGTAGCTTTGATCCTCGCCTCATTCCCCAGATACAAACACAGCGCACACTCCACCTGTGCACACGTACACACACGTTTTGACAGATGTATAGATGTTGTTTAATAGAAAGCGGTAATCAACACCCCTTCCCCCTAAGCATCCCCAACTCTAAATGGTAGAAAGATAGATAGAGACAGAGGAAGAGAGAGGCCTAAAATTGACGGCAGTGCATCGACCCTGCTGTAAAACCTAGTTAACGCCTCCCCAGCCTGTGAAACCTGATTAGTTGAGTGTTAGTGTGTGTTTGTGTCATCATGTGTGTTCATAGCGCACTGTGTTTAACAGGTTGTTTTGCTTCTTACAGATACAACCTCATAATTCCCCTCTGATTAAAAAAAATGTTGATGTGTTCCCATTCACATGCCTTGTGTGTGTGTGTGTGTGTGTGTGTGTGTGTGTGTGTGTGTGTGTGTGGGCGCCACACAGGACAGTCTCCACTGATTACATCCCCCCTACTCCTAGTCAATAGTGAATAGAGCACTCAGCCTGATAAGCAATCACCTGAATCAATACTAATGTTTTTAGCTTGTGTACATTAGTGTGTGCATGTTTGCGTGTGTGTGTGTGTGTGTAGTTCTTAACATGTGGCTAATCTAGTCCGAGCTCATGGAGGATAAACATTCAGTTACAGGCACGGTAAATCACAGATGCCTGTCATCCCTTTTTCTCCTCTCCTCTTCTCTCCTGATGTTGTCCCTTTCGTCTTTGTCCAAAGAGCCTTCTCCTAACTCCAATCCTTTCATCTTCTCGCCTCTCACCAATCTGCATTCTTTTATTTTCCCTTCTCCCTCTCATCTCCTTCTCCTCTTTGGCCTTCTTTGAGCATTAACGGCAGCCTAACCTTCAAAGAGAGTGATCATAGGGAGTCCACGCTGTCCACATACAGAATAACACAGCCTTTAGTTAGGCTTTGGCAGCAGTTTAAATGTCAAAGTTGGAGGCCCTGCTTTGCCACACCCACATGTAATCCCTGAGAGAGAGGCAGAGCGATATGAAGTGACACCAAGTGGAAGATTTGGTGCTGTAGTGAGTATTTATGGTGGCAGGACAGAGTGAATGAGACCTTCTCAATTTACTGTAGCAGCCATGTGCATTGTAACAAGATAATATGTCAGCCAGCATGTGGCTCTTTTGCATTTTTGGTCAACAATGGAAGTCTATCCCTCTCTTCTCTCTCCACTGTTCTCCTGATCTGGAATATCATGGAAATCATTTACTGTAAACTGTTTTACTCTCCCCGTGAGTTTGCTTCATTCACTCTGGTCTGTGTTTACATTCTGCTGCAGGCTAACATGCACGACGCACAGCGCATGCTGGCTGACCGGATACTGTGTGTGGAGCATACAAACCCGGACTCCCTTGTTATTGTTCTTGGTGACTTTAACAAAGGAAACCTTAGCTAAGCACTCCCCAAACACAGACAGTTTTGTCCAAGCAGACAGGGTGGACGGGTCGACACTTTAGATCACTGCTACACCACAGTTAGAAGTGCCTATCAGGTGAACCACGACATGGTTCTGATTCCTGCATAGAGGCAGAAACTAAAGCTATGTAAAGCTGTGGTGAGGACCTCCAGGTGTGTTTGGAGTGCACTGACTGGGATTTTTTCAGGACTACTACCAACAATCTGGATGAGTTTACTGATGCTGTGACGTCCTACATCAGCTTCTGTGAGGACAGCTGTATACCAACACGCACCGGGGCAAGTTATAACAATGACATACCCTGGTTTACAGCCAAACTCAGACAGCTATGGTTGGGAAAGAAGGACGCATATAGGAGTGGGGACAGGGCCGGGCCAGGCCAGCTCCACCCCCTCCCCTACTCTCTCAATCTCAGAGAGGGAAGTCAACAGACTATTCAGGAGGCAGAAACGCTGCAAAGCAGCCGGGCCAGACTGTGTCTCCCCATCCACCCTGAAGCACTGTGCTGATCAGCTGTGTTCACAGACATTTTTAACACCTCACTGGAGACATGCCATGTGCCAGTTTGCTTCAAAGCCTCCACCATCATCCCTGTCCCCAAAAAAACCAAGGACCACAGGACTAAACAACTACAGACCCATCGCCCTGACCTCTGTGGTAATGTCCTTTGAATGCCTTGTGTTGTCCCACCTTAAATCCATCACTGATCCACTCCCGGACCCCCTGCAGTTTGCCTACAGAGCCACCAGGTCTGTAGATGATGCAGTAAAAATGGCCCTTCACTACATCCTTCAGCACCTAGACTCCCCAGGAACCTACGCCAGGATCCTAATTATGGATTTCAGCTCTGATTCAACACCATCATCCCGGCCCTGCTGCAGGACAAGCTCTCTCAGCTGAACGTACCTGACTCCACCTGTAGGTGGATCAATGACTTCCTGACAGACAGGAAGCAGCCCGTGAAGCTGGGAAAACATGTCTCTGATTCCAGGACCATCAGCACTGGTTCCCCTCAAGGCTGCGTTCTTTCCCCTCTTCTCTTCTCCCTGTACACCAACAGCTGCACCTCCAGTCACCAGACCATGAAGCTCCTGAAGTTTGCGGATGGCACCACCCTCATTGGGCTCATCTCAGGTGGGAACGAGTCCGCCTACAGGTGGGAGATCGACCATCTGGTGACCTGGTGCAGCCAGAACAGTCTGGAGCTCAGCGCTCAGACAGTGGAGATGGTTGTGCATTTTAGAAAGAGCCCAGCCCCACCCTCCCCCATCATCCTGTGTGACTCCCCAGTCACTGTGGACTCCTTCCGCTTCCTGGGCACCATCATCTCCCAGGACCTCAAGTGGGAGCTGAAAATCACCTCCCTCACCAAAAAGGCCCAGCAGAGGATGTACTTCCTGTGGCAGCTGAAGAAGTTCAGCCTGCCAAAGACAATGATGGTGCACTTCTACACCTCCATCATTGAGTCCATCCTCACCTCCTCCATCACCATCTGGTACACTGCTGCCACTGACATGGACAAAGGCAGGCTGCAGTGTATCGTTCGCTCTGCAGAGAAGGTGATTGGCTGCAATGTTCCATCACTTCAGGACATGTACGCCTCCAGGACTCTGAAGCGAGCAGGAAAGAATACAGCTGACCCCTCCCACCCTGGACCCTACGGTCCATCAGGACCAAAACCTCTCGCCACAAAAACAGCTTCTTCCCATCTGCAGCTAGTCTGGGTCCCCCACTGACACTATCCCCTTGCAAATAATACAAATATCTCTGCACATGTAAATACTATTTCATTTCATTTCTTATCATACACAAACCTGGCACATTACACATATTTGTTGTTAATTGTTAATCGTTGTTATATTGTCAGTTTATGTATTAATGTACACAATATTCTCTTCCGTTTCAATATATCTTGCGTAACACATCCTGGAATATTGCACTTGTAAATATCTGCGACATTGTTCTTTCTCTGCAAATAGTTGTATTATTTTTCTCGATTCTTTTTATTATTCTTATATAACTTACATTGTATATAAATATTCCATATTTATATGTTTCTAGATTTATTTATGTCAGCTGCATGTTTGTCTAAGCACCTCATCACCAAAGCAAATTCCTCGTATGTGAAAAACACTACTTGGCAATAAAGCTCCTTCTGATTCTGATTCTATGGAATAGAGGAAAGAGATCAGGCTTTGGATACACAGCCTATACTTGGACACATTTGTAGTTTTTGGTCTTTTCATGGGATTTGTTCATAATAACAACAAATTAAAAAGATAATGACCATGTGTTAAATACATGATTTACAAACACACTTGTTTAGGGTAGTCATTTGGTTTTTGAAATTTCCTGGCGCCTTTCCGGGCTGCCTGCCACATGTTAGTACCAACACTACACTTTACCTCTGCCCTGTGCTCTTCGCCCCATCTTGTGGTGCTTATAGCTCATACTGATCATGTCTAGAGGACCTTTGTGTCTCTTTTTTTTTTTTTTTTACCCTACCTTCCGCTGACAACGAAGCAAGTCACCAGGAAGATGAGCAGAACGATTCCCCCAGCGATGGACACAGCCAGAATGGTGGACTGGTTAGGGTCCCCGATAGCAAAAACATCTATTAAGGAGACAAAGGGAACACAGTGGATTAATAAACAAAAGCATAAAGAAGGATGGAAAGAAGCTGAGGTTGTTTTCGGCGGGAGGAAAGTGAGAGGAGAAAAGACGAAGAGAGTCTGGGAGTAAAACAGACAGGAAAGTGAGTGTGGTGGAGGAAAGAGGGAGAGAGAATGAAATATGAGAGCAATAGAAAAGAAGATAAAAGAGGTTGAAGAAGAGGGAAAAAGAGAGAGCAGCAAACGAGTAAAAGAGAGGATAAAAGAGAGGATAAAAGAGAGGAGCGACGGTGGTGGGTGGAATAGTAAGTAAGGTCCTTGATGAAAAGCGCTCTCCCTCTCTGCATCGCCTGTGAGGGTATGAGAGTGGACGTGAAAGCCATTCCCATTCGGCCGCGCTGTCCAAATGGATATGTTAACATTGCACATAACAAGGCTACCGCCAAGAACTTTCTGCAAAGATGCATTGATTTTTACGCCACCCCAAACGAGCCATTACTCAAAACAAATACCTCATTTATCTGGCTTAGCTAAGCATGAGCAGGCACGTGTGTCTGTATGTGTATGAATATATGAGTGTGTGCGTGTGTGTGTGTGTGTTGAAGAGGCAAATTAGAGCCCCTAGGCAAGGCACAGGTAAGCATTGATCTCCTATTACATTTACTGCCGCACACATGCACAGCCTTCTTTAACAATCAATGGAATTGATCTGATTAGATAACCTTGAAATGTTTGCTGCGTGGTCAGCTGAATCTTGTATTTTAGAGCACTGAACTCGGATATGAATCTGCTGTATGAAGGTTCAGTAACAGCACTAGACACCAGTGACACGCAACCTGGGTTCTGTCTTTTACTGTCATCTTCCAGATATTTGTTGCAGAACAGGAATAGAAACCCTACTTTGAATTACTTTTACTGATTATTGAATGATTAGTAGGCTAATGTGTGCCTGTTGTATGCTACGTTGACAATCTACAGCGCAGTGCCATACATTACCTGATTTATCCCCTCTGCCTGCCTGTCTGGGAATCAATGTTCACTTTGAAGAGCACATTATGGGGCTTCTAAAGCAGAAAATCCTAGAGCACATAATGAAGCGATAATGAAAGTGGATGACAGCAAACAAATGAGAAAAGGAGTGACAGAGAGGCTAAAAACATTAGGAGAGAGCTGCAGCATAGAATGCCCATAGCTGTGAGGCCTGGCCCCACTGGCCTGGATCGACCCCGGCATAGATTTCTCTTTTTTTGACTCCAAACCATAAGTCCAGAATACATTTCTAAATGCAAGTGGTCAGTCTCCTTTACGCAGAAGAAGGAAAAAAAATCCCGCTCTATACAGAGCACTGCCGTTGCAGTATAGTTGCAGGTGGGGAAAATTAAACATCATCTAGGTAGTAAGATGTCCAGTCAAGTTTAAATTTATTCACCCGATGGCTACATAACATCTGAGGATGTTTGGTGTTTTCATTTTCTGTCTTTTCAATTCATGGTTTTCATTGTGGGTGCAAACTTCTTCTACTCGTAAGATTTTGCTCCTGTCGTTGGTGTGAATCAAAATCTCACAATCCAGTAAAGCATGTTTGCTTTGATTCATTGTGTAATTGGGTTGTCTCCTTTTACCTGATACTTTTTATTATTAGGATACCTTTAAGCCACTGGTTCAGATATGTAGATGACACAGCCTGTGAGGCTGCTGAGGTTTTTCTGTCTGACAACAGAACTGAAGAAGCCATTCGGGTGAAAAGTGAGCTATTTCATGACCATCTGGCAGATTGATTTAAACTGCAGGGGGGATGAATCAGGGTCTTACTACACTGTGATATAATATGCCATACTCTTTGCTCTGCAGTCAATCTTTGTGATTCTTGACTCAGGTATAAATCATGTCCACAGACGAGGTAATGTATTGAAGTTGAATTCATGTTATATTTAGTCTTGTTTGCCAAATTCCTTCCTCACACATAATCCGATGTTCCCCATAAGTTACACTATAGCACTTAGAGGGGTTAAAGTGGATATGACGCCAGCAGCAGGCGAGTAAATGAAACGCACAATTACCTTGAATGAAATTGTTGTAAGTACACAATTCAACAAAATATTTAACATAGGTCTAGTGTTTTGTTTGATAATTTAATGTGGAAATGCATATTATACATTTAAATAATTGGCATGTAGCTATTTTCAGTGTAGCAACTGACTGCTATTCCAATTTTTATCGGAAAACCTCAGGGACATTTTGAAAACAGGAAGATTGATGAAAAAATTGCAATCCAATTACACAAGATGATGCGTAAAAAAAAAAAGGAAAAGTGAAATTGCTTATTCATTCTGAGTAAACAAATATTTATTATTCATCCCTTTACCTTCGTGGCTGGTTTCCAATTCAATCTCTCCACCGTAGCTCCCGTAGCCCACATTGGTTCGAGCCCTGACCCTGAACACATAGGTGGTCCCTGGCTTCAGCCCGTCCACTGTCATCATGTTGGAGCTAGTCCTCAAGACCGTGTAGTTCTGCTCCCGCTGATTCTGAAGTGGAAGAAAGAGCAGGAGGAGAGTTCAGTAGATACTATTAGGTGTCAGAGAAATAAAGTGATTGTGGGTAAAAAGGGGATGAAATTATATAAATACTCAAAAGTGTTATATAAAGAGCAATGGACTGTCTTATCGAGGGAGACAGAAAAAAAACTGGAAAGTCTGAAAATAATAGAAAGCTCAAATATTTTAATTTAAACGTCTCCATGGGGCCACATACACCTCACTTAGTTTTCATTTGTTCATCACTGGACCATTTGGTCACATTTATACATGAGCATCTGTCAAGTCCCAAATCACACCCTCTTTACTCTTCATTCCCCCGACTACCTTGCAGGTGTGTGTGTGTGTGTGTGTGTGTGTGTGTGTGTGTGTGTGTGTGTGTGTGTGTTTGCGCACGCACTTACAAATATGTGTGTAGGTAGATGAATAAAGAATAAGTGTGCCTGTCAGTAAGCTGATTCCCTGCAGAGAGGCTGATACTCTACCTAATGGAAGACACTCTACAACACGGATTAACACTATTTTACTGCTAATGCCTGCTAACACACACACACACACACACACACACACACACGCACAGGCTTAATTTCATCACCTTGGCCATGTTTTACAAGGTTTGTTCGACAGATGTGTTGTTAATTGGCTTGGTGTGAGGAATAGGGGAGAAGGGAGGTATATGGTGATGGAGATGGAGAGATAGAGAGATTGGAGAGAGAGATGTGTACGTAATGAGTAGTCATTACAGACATGCCTAAGGCAAAACTCAAGTCCTGTGAACCTAGACAACATGTAGATTAAAGAGAACAAAAGGAGTGGAAAGAAACATTTTGAGTTAAACAAGTGAAAGAGTTGCTCCAGAGTTTAGCATTGCATTTAAAGAAATTGTTTGTCAGTTTTGTAAATATGCTTATGTCCTTTCTTGGTGAGAATAAGATGAGAAGATGGAGATTGGGTATTATTGTCTTTACACTTGTTAAAGCACTTTGTAACTTGTTTTTGAAAAGTGCTCTACAAATAAAGATTATTATTATTATTATATTATTATTACTCTCGTGTCTGCATGCTAAACATGAGGCTACAGGTAGCAGCTGGTTAGCTAATCTTAGCACACAAATTGGAAACAGCTAGCCTGGCTCTGTATAAAGGTAACAAAATCTGCCTACCAGCACCTTTAAAATTCACAAATTATCATATGTTACATATGTCTTTTGTTAATCCATACATAGAAACTGTGGTGCAAAAACAACAATCTGCTGTTTTATTTTGTGGCAAATAATTCCTCGTAAAGCAGCAAATTGTGTGGATTAAACAAACTACATGGAATGGGTAATTCTTGAGCTTGAAGGTGGATTTTTTTAACCTTTGGACACTAAGCTAGCTATTTTCCCCTTGATTCCAGAATTTGAGCTAAAATAAATCGACTGCAAGCAATAGCTTACTATTTTCCACACAGACATGGAAGTGGTATCGATCTTCTAATCTAACCCTCAGTATGAGAATACCAAATACCTCCCAACATGACTCCCAAATACCTCCAAAAAATGTCAAAGTATTTCTTCAAAGCTTTACGAAATAATTCCTCGTAAAGCAGCAAATTGTGTGGATTAAACAAACTACATGGAATGGGTAATTCTTGAGCTTGAAGGTGGATTTTTTTAACCTTTGGACACTAAGCTAGCTATTTTCCCCTTGATTCCAGAATTTGAGCTAAAATAAATCGACTGCAAGCAATAGCTTACTATTTTCCACACAGACATGGAAGTGGTATCGATCTTCTAATCTAACCCTCAGTATGAGAATACCAAATACCTCCCAACATGACTCCCAAATACCTCCAAAAAATGTCAAAGTATTTCTTCAAAGCTTATCCCCACTACCAGGTTGCAACACGGGTTTTCTGTTAAAAAAACAACTAATCTGATCATCATGTGTCAAACTGGTTGAGTGCCCCTTTAAAAATGTGTGTCTCTCTCTCACCTTCTCATAGTAGATGACCTCATACTCCACTATCACTTCATTGGGTCTCTCTGGACCCTGCCAGGCCAAAGTCACACTGTCCTTGCTCCGCCTCTCCTTCAACACAACGCTCACTGTAGGAAAACAAAGAACAAGTGAGGAAAAGCATGAGCACCAAAGAGAGAGTAAAGTTCAACGAGATGAGGGGGGAAAAGCATGTAAAGAGGCAGATTTAGATGGATTCCTACTGTGCTATAATGAGAAGACCCATATTTGAAGTGTGTGTCATGTAATTTTGCTAATGAGTGGGCTTACAAGGTGTTTCATACTTGTGTGATCACAGCATTCTACGGTGTGTATGGTCTGTGATCTGCTCGTATTATTAATGTGCAAACCCTGCGACTGATTCTCTGCCTTCCCACATAGGGGCACAGGCTTGTGTGGGTGGAAAGTGTATATTTGCTTGTGCTGGTGTGTGTGTGTGTGTGTGTGTGTGTGTGTGTGACATACTGTAGTCCAGAGTAGCACGTGTGACATGTGGGGATGTTAATGAGGTTAACAACCTCTTACACCCTTTCACCTTTCCCCCCTCCTGTTATTACACACACATCTGTAGAACGAAGCCTATTAGTCATCGCCCATCCTGTCATACGCACTTCTCTTACATTTCCCACAGTACCACACTGTGAAAAACGTGTGATTATATATTGTATGAGCAGGCAGAGGTGTCATTTTGTGGTATCAGAGTGATGCAGGAAAGCAGTGCTTTTATAGTTAAAAGCCTCATACTATTTGTGAGCACACTGCAATCAGGAGACAATTTTGAAAAATGCTCAATTCACTATCCTTCCAATTCCTAGTTCGGGCTAATGAATATGTTCTATTTTCTTTTCTTATCAGCCTTTAAAAGTGGAATCCTGTATAATCCTTCTTGATGTCAAGTTTTAACTGCAGTTTAAATCTTAAAGCACCCTGCCACCTGTACAAATTACACTGTTTCAACAAAAGCTGGTGTTGTGACATTCATAGTTAAATTTGGGGATTTAGATGTACTTTTAGGAGTGACATTACCCCCACTATGCATGTATGCTCTCACCTGTCTGTGATGTAGTGACATTGATGACTGCCGTTCCTCTGGGTGTGGGACTTAAATCTGACACTCCATTCTGGCTCTCAATAGTGAAGCTGTAGTTGGAGTCCGGTTGCAGTTCGGTGACCAGCACGGTGGCTGACGAGAGACCAAACTGCCTGGGAACAAAATGGACGCTGCTACCACATGGTGTGCACTTCTTGCCATCACCTGAGCACTTACTGCAGTGGAGGCTGTAGGTGATGTCTCCTCGGCCTCCTGTGTCCCTGGGTGGTGACCACTCCAATGTGACACAGGTCTCATTCACTGTGGAGATGGGGTTCTCTGGAGCAGATGGAGGACCTGAGGGAAGATAGAGGCACACAGATTTATTTCTGTGACCTTGTTAAAAAACATTTTTGTCCAGAAAGTAGAATCTTTTTCAACTGACCCTGTGGAGTTTTTTGTAAACAAAATGTTTTGCTCTTTCTCACTAAGGCATTGTGTCTATCGTTGAGGCCTGTTTAAAGTGCGCTCCACAGATTTCGTATTGTGCTTCTCTAACATTGTCGGGCTCACAATGGACAGTTTAGAAAAACAGGATCAAAATCTATGCAGCAGAACCTCAGATATTGCCTTTTTTACTCAATGCATTCTTCTTTCTTCTGAAAACATGCCACCTACATTACCCACAAATCAACTCGACTACTAACAGATTCAGGTGTGTTATGCTAGTAGCAGCAAATGCAGCCTCGGGCTGCTATTCTCAAGCAGAGATGAGGAGTGTGCTACAGACGTTTGGTAAAGCTCACTTCTTTCTAACTTCCCACCCCCAGATAATTTTATCATTTTCAAACTTGCAGATTTCAGCCCCAGCCAGCGCAGACTCAAGTGACATCACATCAAGTGAAATTTATTTTACACAGCTCCTTCTGGAGCCACAAAAGGCTTTATACAACCTTTTTCACATATGCTGTAGTACTCCCCAAGACCTATAGACAGACTTTAATGTGGAAAATTGTTGGAGTTCCCCTTTACAATAAATGGCACACTATACCCTGGGTATATTAGGTGAGCTGTATCGTACACCTAAAAAAATTCTGTAAGCGTACACTGTCTTCATGTTCGTTACAAAATGTATTGCAGTTTCTATTAAGGACAGAATTCACGCTGAAAAAATGAATTAACTGACTCCAGCCAGAGGGCGGACACTTAGCTCTCGATTAATGAATAGCTGTGAAATGGACAGTGATTAAAAGAGCTTGGCTGATTGTAAATGCGACGGCAGGAGAATATATGACGCAGCCGAAGTTTAAATCCATCTTAAGAGAATTCACATGATGTTAAATGGTTGGCGCTCAGCTGCAGGGAGGTTTTTACCACGTGAAGTTAACTGATACTCTTTGGGGCTGCACTGCAGACAATAAATAGTGAGTGGACAATGATCCATAGAAAGTGCCCAGGGTAATTTTCTCTGAACTTCAGCTGACATGATTAGTGTATCACAGAGTCCAAAAAGTGTGTCAGTAATCATCCTCAAGGAAACAGAGACACAGCGACACACAAATGTTCTTTATTATATCTTTAGATGAAGAGTGTTGATGTTGATACATAGATCAAAATCTAGGTAATATATGTGAATAACATTTCAAATAGTTTTGTAACTGAAGCAACTGCAACTGAAGCAGTGTACTGAGTTTTTAACATAGGACTGTAAGGAGCATTTTGTCTCTAAATAAACCATTGAGATAAAATTCTAATTTCTTTTATACTGATTTGATTGATTCACAGCCCCTTGTAGATGTGTAGACATCATGTGTAATTTTAAGGTACATAGTCTGGGGTACAAATTATATATTTCCTATACAAATTTGGGAATTATAACAAATTGAGTTTAAATTCAGTTAAATTCTGTTTAGGACCACAAAAGCTTTTGTGGAGGTAGTGGATCCCCAACTTGGATGGTGATCGTACACCCTTCACTTTTCACTGGCTTCTCTGTTTCTATTTTTGTCACGGACTGAGCAGTTCCTGCTTTTGCTTCACATTAAAGCTTTCCTCCATCAAACCAGTTGAACAGGAAGAAGGTTTAATCTTGCAATGCAATGATCTCTTCTAGGAATATGGCATTGACATTACAAAGTAATGAATGTGGCCTTATTGAGAAGCAAATACTGGAGGTGCTATCTTTGTGTCCAAAGTTAGCAACCATCTTCTAACTCCTTGTTGTTGTAATAATTAAGTACATCTACATGTTGGCCTTTTTTCTGTGTTTTTTCATTGGCAGATCAACTTTAAATATTGTCAGCAGGGACAGTGTGAGCGAACCACAAACCTCCAACACATAATCAAGGTAAGACTTCTTGTTGTGTCTCACTCTTATGGAAACCTCTGATTGTGGTTGCTCAAAGCACAGCACAGTGCAGATATCTCAACCATATGGAAATTTGGCAGTAGATGCCCATTCAGCCTGACATCTCATCAGGTCCTGGCTGAGCACTGAGCCCCAGGGGGCCGCTGGCAAAGCCTGGGACTTTCCTGATTAGCCATCCCAATGGCGAGCCTCTCTGAAAGAATGAGGGAAAACTGGGAGTGGGGAGGTAGAGGCCATGCTGTGGATAATTGAGGCTGTCAGTCATAAATCTCCTAAAGGATTGTGCTGACTGATCCTGCTAATTCTGTCTTTTTCTTCTCTCCATCCCCCCACTTCCCTCGGCCAAACTTAACTGTCCATCATTGTGTCTACTGATCTGCCTTTTATGACATTTAAATTATATGCCTCTGATAGTCCCCTATTTCCCCCACTGTTCTATTCTTTGCCTGTGTCTAAAGTGTCATTCTCCATGTCTCTAAATGACAAATTCTTTCACCTTTGCTCCTTATTTTCTCATTTTCGCCTTTTCCATCCTCCTCAGTGCTCTTCACCAGCATGTGTGTGCGTGTGTGCGCGTGTGTGCGCATGTGTGCTCATGTGTGCCCATACATACTTGAACAAACCGTTACTCATTTCCAGCTGATAACACCAACTGTTACACATCTCACCTGTGACAACGATTAATGAGTGTAATCTACCATAACTTGATAATGGGTTTGGGTGTGTGTGTGCACGTGTGTGCGTGTCCATATTTCAGGCTCTCTCTCCCTCCATGTCACCGTCCTTTCCCACCCCCCACATTCCTCCGTCTATCTCAATCCATCTCTTTCTGTCCCCCTCTTTCCCCCAATCTTCCCTCCCCATCCTTTCTATGCTCCGCTGTCTCTGTTCATGAGGATGTGGTTCTGATCCCCCTGGCTCTGTGTGTGTGTGTGTGTGGCTGAGAGTGGGAAGCAGACAAAGAATAAGAAACATCATCACATTTCTACCCGAGTATCACCCATATCAGTGTTCTCATCTGAGATATCTGCGGACTGTAACCACACAGCTGACAGACATGGATGTGTGTGTGTGTGTGTGTGTTTTTTTGTATCTCTAGTGTTGTGTAAATCAATAGCAGCTGAGGAAAAGGAAAATGCATGGAGGGATTATAGATAGAAAAATGAATAAATGGAGCAGCCCTTCAATGTAAATTCTTACAGGAATACATTGCAAACTAATTAAATGAAATTTAATTCAATTATTGTTTCTTAATGCCATTTTATGAGGTAGAAATGTAAACAGTCGAAAGCAAATATTTGACTACAGTGAATACACAGTGTGGTATGAAATTAGCTTCGAACTGTATGACTGTAGCTAATGAGATGTGCATGGGTTTGAGTTTCTGCCAGTTTTCTGCCACTCACGTGTGCAGGCCATGGCCCGTGGGTCGGTCTCAGCACGGTAGAAACCTTTCTCACAAACACACTCAAAGGCTTGTTCCTGCGGAGACGAGCTGTGGGGAGGACATTTGGTGCAGTAGGCATCTGTGGCTGAAGCTTTGTAGGTACCAGGTCTGCACGCTTGAGTGAGGAGACAGATAAACACTGTGTTAGAGGCTGTGCCAATACACCTTTTATACTGTATATTCCGCTCAACAATTATCAACCAACACACTAGTAATTAATATTAACCTACCGGCCGCAGTTGTGAGGACACACACTTTTCCTGTACAGTGAGGGATTTTTACAGACCTTGCATTCAATTTCAGTTGTACCTCCAAGTAAAGTGGTTTGAATAATCTAGCTAAATTTTTGGCTTGTGTACCACCTGTCTGATCGTCCGACTGCTGATGTTTCTTGCCCTGTCTAAATGTCTGAAGTTCCCAGATTTCAATTTGGTGAGTACGTTATCATAACTGAAAGAAATTATGGTCAAAACTACAAGAATAAAACCAAGGTTGTGCACGGTAATAACCTTTAAGACTGTGTGAAAATAAAGGAGAGTCAGAAGAGTATAAAGGGCAACAGTTACTCAAAAAGGTAGAAAATGTTCAAGAAAATGCAAACCGACATGAGGAATTATGCAACAAAAGAGGTACTACAACAGATACTGATAGGTCATAAGATGTGCCATGCAGCCCCCATGGCAAGAACAAGAAAACAAAGTTTGATTTAATATATTGTGACATTGGGTCTATATGAGATACTTTTAGATCAGGCTGACGGCCCTATTGTACAATACAATAACATGGTGCAACAGCAGATCCACTGTCATTCCCGTTATATAAGCTGTAGATCTTCAGGCAACCGAGGGAACAAAAATACACAGCTGCAGTCGCAGCAATAATCACAATAACATAATATGACTATTGCTATGGCTGTTACGCTGGCTGCATATTAGTCATTATGTGGAGTCATAAAACTGGGGAGGGAAAACCACGCTACCGCTCAACAGGAGCAGCTTGCTGAAGTAGATTGGGGACTTGAATGATTTCCCCTTTGCATCCTAGGCAGTAAAATGGAATTTCCGACTTTCCCTCTGGTAATCTGAATAAAGATTACGCATGTATTTATTTATACATTCGTAGGCCTGGTATTCCCGTCCTTGCAAGCCTTTTCTGCTAAGGTGGTAAATAGTATTAAGGTGTACAAAACCCCATGTATGGAAAATGAGTGTCTCAAATGCAATTCGATATATGCCTTGTGTGTATGCATATGTGTATGTGCGAATATGTTTGATCAGTGATGCTATAGATTCCGCCAGGTGCTGATTGCATGTTCGTGCGCTGAGCGTTTTTCAGCGAGAAAGTGTTAAGTATGCGGCGCGTGTGTATGTGTGAGCGTGTGTGTTGGCTTGCTGATTGCTTGTGCTGGTGGTGAAGGTCACGGATTTAATCAAGCTACACGTCAAGCTACACGTCCCAGAAAGGCTGTAAATTATCACTGTAATACACATGTTCACAGGCACACGTGCATGTCCGACGCCATGGTTAACCTGCAGATAGAGGAATGGAAAAGTGGCCTAAAAGTGGTGTGATTTCTCACTGTGGAGGTAAGTTCCTCCACCTGGACGCTGTGCTTGCTCGCATACAGACAGTATTTTTAGGCAAATCATTCATCATAGGGGAGCAAAGTCCACTAGCACAATCCCCAAAAGACCCGAGAGAACACCAGAAAGGGGATGTGTGTGCGTAGGTGTGAAAGAGAGAACGAAGGAAAGAAAGAAAGAAAGAAAGGAAAGGGAGTGATAATTCTCAAAGGGTTTCTGCTCTCTTTCCTCCTTCCTGTCAGCTTCCAAGGTAATGGGTGCCTATGTGCTGTGCTAGTGACTCTGTGTGTGTGCGTGTGTGTGTTCTTGTTGGCTGGGCTGTAGGAGCAGGGTGGAAAAGCAGCTTTTCTCTGGGGATGTTTCATCCGGAGAGTCCTGGCTCCGGGCGCTGGCCAGGCACAAAGGACCCCTACGCTAGAGGACAGACAGGGCGCCCCGTGCCAGGCCTGGCGTCCGAACAACTGCCTGATCAAAAACTTTCTGCAAGAATGGCAGCTTGGCCACTTTGAGTGGCGCTTCCTTCTCCTGATCTGCTGTTTTCTACTTTGCTTTTCCACCTCGTTCTCACTCCAGCTTTTCTTTCTCTCTCCCGTCCCCCCTCTCCTCCATCTCCCCCTTCTTCTTGCCTCTTTTTGTTTTCTCAAGCTACTCCCTGTGTCTGCCCCATGGGAAATGTGTTACTTGACTTGGTTCCCTTATGATTAATGATTTACCATAGATATGAAAAAGGGACAAGAAGGCTGAGGCAGTAAGACAGAGCTCACATAAACATGCACTCACAGAAAGCAGACACACAGGAGCACAAAAGTTTAGTCACAAAAACTATGTTGTAGAACTAGGAGCTAACTCCAAAGTAACTGTACAGTACGTAGGGTGCTTGTATGTGTGTGTATGTGTTTCTTCTAAAGACAAAGAGTGGCCTCAGATCCAGTATCTTATTAAATATTCATCCGGTCACCAGAGAGACTTAGTATATTTATGCCAATCGATAGCTCTTAGATATGATATAGTCCTGCTACTCAAGACACACCCTCAGTCACAACGCACTGATTGAAAAGGGAACAGCCCAACTGTTTCCTTTGGGAAAACACTGCACAGTGATTGAATTCTTTTGTATTCTATTTCTTGTATATTCAATTCTACTCTTTCTCTACTCTACTCAAATTCTTTAATCAATTATAAAAAATCTGACAAGTTATAGATAAATAAGTGTATTACACCAAACAACCAGGACATGTCTTTAAAAAGTTGCACTAATCAGTGTATTTATATTAACAATGGATCAAATGATGATGTGTAATGTAGTGATGAATTCTTAACTGCAGATCCCCTCAACTCTACAGAGCATTTTAGCATCTCTTAACACATTGTTGTGGTTTATGGCTCACACCTTTACAGGTTTAGTTCACTGTCACCACATATCAACTGTGTTTCCAGGAGCAGGCAGCTGTTTTCAGCTAAAAAGTTCTTATAAAAGTGACGGTACGTGACCTGCCCAGCACCAAACAGCAGACAGACAAAGCGGCTAGCTGTTGAACATAGTGGAGCATTTAGCACCTAAATAGCCAGGTATTTACCTCAGGAGAGCAAGCCGAAGGTAAAAGGAAAGTAAATATTCATTCATCAGATTGACCAGAATCGCGAATCCGTTACCCCCAAGTATCTGTTGATACTGCTTCTGCTTGTTTTATTTGACTGCAAAACCCAAATATAGTGTTCTTATTCAGAATCACATAAAACGAGAAAAAGAAAAAAGGAAAAGGAAATGGAGCTGAGTGACTGTTTAAGATACAAGCGTACTGAACTTGTGTGAATGACAGAAACTGCTGACTATACCGGAAGAGTTCAGGAAGTGGGTTCGGTTAATGGTTGAAAAGGGCCTGTGCATATTCACACACAAGTGTGCACACTGAAACACAAACCCGATATCACATAGTCAAAGTCATTACATCCTAATTACATTCAGCCAGGCAGCTCTGTACGTATACAAAATCACATCAGCTGCACTTTTCTGAAACAAACACTTCCTCTGCCTGGCTGGGAGCCGTCTCCTCTCCTCCACTTCCCTTTCAAATGTTCTTGCTAGTTTAACTGTTATTTGCTCTGTTCTCTTGCTTTCTGTCGCACTTGCTTCAAGTCAAACATTGGCTCCCCGCCGGCTTTACCATAAAGGCCAGAAAGAGGAGAAAACTCTGTGTGTGTGTGTGTGTGTGTTTGTGTGGGTGGGTGGGTGGTTGGGGGGTATAGTGAGTGTGTGCATGTGCCTGTGTGTGTTCTTTTGAGAGGGAAGTTGTGTAAAGCTCGCTGGCCCACGGGAGATGAGCTCCATAATGGTCACCATGGCAACAGGCTTTCAAGCTGGAACCCTTCTAGTACCCCTCGAGTGCCACAGCTCCTGGAGCACAGAGCGGCCTGTGTGTGTGTGTGTTTGTTGGCTACCCAGGCGTTAGTTGAGGCCAGCTATTTAAAAATTGATACATCAAGCGTCAGTGGAGAAATCTGACGAGATTGAATGTGACGTCCTTTACGGCCACTGGGGTCGCATCTGTATGTGTGTGCTTGTGTGTGTTTGTGCTCATGTGTACATAACCGTGAAACATGCTTTCGGCCGAATTGAATAACGTTGTGCCTTATATGTGAAAAAAACATACACAACAAGGGGCATAAAACCCTTTATATGATTACTGGCACTTCACAACATTACAAATGTTAATGTAAACATGTCATTTTAATTCAATAGATTCACTATACATTGGTGTGCATTATCAAAGCAAAATGCATCTTTTAAAAGCTGCCGATGAACATGACCAACTGACAGTGTGTTTGTGTAGTCAACAACTTTCCTTGTTGATAAGTGGAAGTAATATGTCTGTGTGTGTGTGTGCGTGTGTGTGTGTGTGGGTTTGTGTGTGTGTGTGTGTGTGTGTGTGTGTGTGTCGGTTTGTGTGTGGTAATGAGGAAGTTTGTGTAGGATAGAGATGTCAGCATCATAGTCCAGCCCCCTGTTGAGAACCTCTAATCCCTAACTGGAGTTCATAACAACCTTTAACACCATAATATTCAGCATTACTACTAATCCTGCAAAACATACGCACACACTCAAGACACACATACAATTCCTGAGCAAACATGCTTGTCTGTTTTTGCATTAAATTTGCTCTTTCTTTCTTTCTTGATCTAAGGATTATTCAACTATGGACACCTCATGTTTTTGCTTTGTATGAACAACAACTTTGCAACTTTGCAATTACAAAATTACATTGCCTTTATGTTTTGTTTTTGTGTTGTGGGGCAGTTTTCTATAAGTGGCATCATCACCACAACAGAAATGTTGTAATAACAATGAGCTCACTACAGATATATATATACAGTAGCTCACAGGTTCCCAATGCTAAAACCATCTGTCCTCTCACTGCAAAATCTGATCAATAGTTTGATTAACACTAAAAACTTTGATATATGTGTGTTCCAAAAACAATCTTCTTGAAAAACATAGCTACTCAAGAAACAGTAATTGTTGGTCCAGTTTAAC